TTGCTAAAATGAATTCAATCGTATTTTCTTTCTGTTACGTATGATCAGGAAAAGAAAAGGATTATACATTTCATACATTAGTCTTCTGTGCGTTCCTTTTTTAGTTTCTGTCCCAGTTGAGCAAATTGAGATGTTGTTTTTATAATTTACCAAACAGATGGTAATTTAAAGTAACAAAATCTTCAGAAGCTCAAAAAAATGCGAATTCTGTATTTTTATTATTAGCATTCATTAATGTTTTAAAAATTTTTAATATCTCTCAAAAGGAAAATCTGTTACTTTAGTTCTAGAGAAATCATTTAATCTAATCTATCCTGAAACAATATACGAGTATTTGACCGGGGCAAGATTTAATGTAAAACCCCAAAATCTTTTAATTTAATTTTACTTTTTTATTATTAATTTATTCTTCTTTGGGGAGGCATTTAGTACTAGAAATTAAATATTAAATCCCAGATAAATCATCCTGGTTTCTGTCAAAACTATGCACAAATCCCTTCCTTATAATAACATAGGGTTCATTGATACAATTGTATATCTTACATTTCAAAAATCTTAAAACATAGTGATGATACTGGAACATTTCCTTATTAAAACAAACGCTAGTTTCTTTATTTAAAGCTCTACAGCTCTTGTTTAACCCTTTCCGGCCCACTACCTTTTAAAGTCGGAGTTTTGATTATAAAAAAAAACGGTAGGCAGTCTAATTAGGCCTAGAGGAGTACACAAGTAAAATTTTATGAAGATAGCACTTATCGTTTTAATTCTGTGGGTGTGCCCAAAGTGGCACACTGATTGAATAGAGCTTCGAAAAGAGTGCTGAAACGAACATTGTTGTCAATGAACTGACCGATGAAATGGGAGAAACAAAGATTTCTTTGAAAAATGAGGGTCTTAAAAAACTAAACATGGCTAAAATATATGGACTGGTTTGTGTTGAGCTGCCATCTACTATAAAGAAAATGTTCAGAGTAACCCTATAGTAATCTATCAATCCTTTTTCATTCAATTTTTCTGTGCGTACGGAAGGAAATTTTTAGGTGTGTCCAGACCGGACACACTGTTGCCGTAAAGGGTTAACAAGCTGTGCAAACAATCTGTTTTGATGCTATTTTAAATGCGATTGCCAAATAGTACCCACTGGAAATCAAAACACCAAATTTCGTAACAGAAAAGGACCAATATTTTTTATAATATTGCATTTTGTAAAACTTTCTGTTCGGCAAATAACAATATATAGAAATCTTAATAATCAGAACAAGTTGAAGTTGACTCCATAATTTGGATAGAATATGAAATACGTTCGCTCATAAATAATATTTAAATTTGCGTAATATTATTTTTGTTATTTTAGAACATCGGAAATTGTTATGGAAAGGATGGTGAATCCACAATATTGGGTAGAATGGATTTTTGGACTTACAAAATGGGGTAGACAGTTCAGACGTGATTTAAAGCTCTTGCACAACTTTACAAGAACAGTAAGAACGTCCATTTACCTTTATATCTCATATTTTTCAAATAATGTTTGCAAAATATAAGGCATATAATATTTTCTTTCACGTAAATTTAATATTATTCTTTAAATAAGGAACTTATAAAAAAGCAGGTAATTTTATCTTCCGCTTTTCGATTTCAGTATAGGTATTTACCGTGTATTCCGGCGTATAACACGTACTTTTAATACAAAAAATAAGATCGAAATTTACGGGTGTTTGTTTACGCCGCATATTAAAGTGAGAGGAAAGGTGAGCATAAACAAATTAGATTTCTACATGTACCATAATGCTGTTTATTTGAAAGCAATGACTTAAGAACTTAAGCAATTCTCTTTATTGGATAACTTGAAAAATTCGTCATATTCGACTTCCGTTATATCTTCAGGCACGTCATCGAGTTCTGTTTCATCTTTACCATCACTGTTCTTCTGATCCATTAATAAGCAATCATACTCGGTTCTATCTGCAGATTGTTATACATACTGCATTTTTAAATGGCTTTTGAATTATACAGCGTTTTATTTCATTTCATTCCTTTATTATACACTCTTACACTATTTTTAGACTGGTATGATGCATTTCGCCTCCTTTTATGAATGTTTTTACACTTCTACTTTTTTGAATTACTACCTTTTTGAATGTAACATCTACATATTCCATTGTCATTTTGAAGTTCCCTTGAATGGTTTATTAACACCCACATCTACAGGCTGAATGGAGTTTATCCGCCTGGAATAACTGCGTCACACTCTTCAATTTCTTCGCATTAACCGTTAGATGGGATCTGAGGATGTCCAAATCTAAAAGATTTTCCGATTTCTTTAAAGCTGGTTTGGCTAATTTCATTATGGTAAAGCACAGAAGACTATTTGCCTAAGACATGCGACATGCGACGGAGGAAGTGGGCACCACCCCTCTACCAATACGGTTAATCGGTATAGCGCGCCACGTCCACCTTTATCTAGATAAACATACGTGTTCTTTGTGCTAATATACTAATATATAAAACATACATACAATTTTGGTACTTCATACAGTGGCGTTAAAGCTAATTAATGTTAAACACTGGATAATACATTGTCATGTTACAAGGTGTATGCAAAAGCATGGATACGATAGCATATATACATAACGTGTGTACTCATATGTTGAGTACACTATGATCCTTTGAAGCATTATCATTGGATTACAGAAGACAAGTACACACTGAAATATTAGGTGCGCAATGTTATGCTGGAATAAGTAATTAGTACAGTGAATTAAAAGTTAGACCCTAGATTGGTACTGTGTGTTACAGTGTCTTGCTACTGAATTATTTGTACTGTTTAAGTACATTAACCAATGTGCAAAGATATTAAAACACGTGTATTAGGTACAAGTAATTAGTGGATACCCAAGCGTTACGTAAGTGCTACTTTAACATACATTAACAATAGGTACTTAATACAATGCTGAACAGATAACTGGTGCAATTAATTTTAGAGTGGGGCTCTAGTTAATTCTTTGCGATACGGTGCCGTGTTACGGATAAATGTGCAGATGCATAGTTACATTATCATATATACAGACATAAATTCATATACATATTACAGACATTTTGTGTACAGACACATTAGGTACATGATTATTCAGTGCGTAATAGATGTATATTAACTATACAGTGCCAAGATATGTGATAACACTAGTAGATACATGGGTACAATTACATATAAACAAGGACATGCACAATTACATATAGACAAAAGCGTATATACGCTTATATTTGGTACATAATAGCCATTGGTGACATAAACATTTGGTACTTACTTCATATACTTAAACTCTAGATCCATAAAATAATATTATGACTAGTAATAGGTGCTTATTAATTTCATAATAGGACACTAAGTTGATATTTTGCCTTACTGTGTCTCGTTACGTAGAAATGTATGCGGGTGCATGGGTACAGCTTCCTATTTACAATGCTATACTGTTTTTCCTATTTCAATGCTTATATCATTTCGATTTCATAATCAATAGGTACATGGCACATTTATATACATGAGCAGATGGTACATTGTAGAGTGCCGTTGAGGATAATTGATGCAATTAATTTTATTGTATTTTAAAAATAATGCATTTATACGCAATTATAAGGTGCATAATTGTCATTAGTTACATATACATTAGGCGCATATACATATACATTAGGCACATATACATATACATTAGGCGCATATACATATACATTAGGCACATATACATATACATTAGGCGCATATACATATACATATTCATATATTAGTTTCTTAATACAATGCTAGGGCAAGTAATTGGTGCTGTTATTTTTACATGTAACATGATGCTGTAGGCGATTGGATGGATAAACTAATATATATACTAATATACATATACACAACTTTTAGGCACATAATAATCACTAGATTCTCAGACATTAGGTACACGGTATACATATGCATATATAAACAGATGGTTCATAATACAATGCTATAGAAAGTAATAAATGCAGTTAATTTTATAGTAAGATTCTAGTTTCCCACTATGCGAAACGGCTTCATGTTACACAGTGTTAAATACTGACGCATGAATACAGTAATATTTCTACTTGTTAATACTATATATATAAAAATATACAAATATTTTCGGTGCATAACTAACATAGGATACATAATTATTAGATGCACTATACATATACGTACATAATACATAAGATTAGTACAATGCTGGAACAATTCATTGGTGCTGTTAGTTTTAGTGTAAAGATCCTAGTTTTAACGCTTTGTGGTACAGTGCCATGCTACAGGATGATATGCGCGGAGCCATGGATTCAGTTATATACATACTAAAACACGTATACACAATTATTAGGCACGCAGTAATATTGGATTTATAAGCATTATATACATGGTACATATACAGACGATACATAATATATAACAATATATATGTAATATATATAATAATAATGCTACAGAAGTTAGTTAATGCAATGGATTTTTTAGAATTAAGACTTTAGATTAACACTATGCGGTAAAGTGTCATGTTGCGTGATGTTATATTCGGATGCATGGTTACATTATCGTACATACGAGGATATATATACATAGTATTAGGCACATAGTAATCATTGGGCTCACAATCTTAATGCACATAGTACCTTAGTCTCGTAGACTTGAAAGTACGTAATAAGGTTCAATTGGTGCTATTAATTTGATGATGCTAAATAATATTAATACAATAATGCAGCAATGATTAATACAGTTAATGATCAATACAGTAACATTTATACTAGAACATATATATACAAATAAAAGGCGCATAATTACATTGAGTATAGAATCATTGTGTGCATTATACATATACATACATAAAACATAACTACATGGTGATGGTACTTAAGATACATTTATAAACAGGTACAGATGGTCCTTATTTACATATTGCGGTACAGATAATAGACATAATTCGTTTTGTTGGCATAATGCAAATTGATTAAATAGTTGATTCTTGCTATATTACTAGGGGTGTTGGATACTCCATACGATAATTCACAGTTATTTTGTGGTGTTGGTAGTTGGTGCTAGACACTGAATTACTATTCGTCTATATGGCTGACTAAGTATGGCACAGGTCTGTGTCAAGGTCGGCCAGTTTAATCCATTAAAAGCCCTATTTTTCTAACCAAGTGCATCTGTTTTATCAAAAACTTACAGAAAGCTTGTCGATTGGTCGACGGAAGGTTGATGTGTAGCCCTTCTGTAAGGGGACAGAGGTCAGATAATGCTCCAGAGCCAATCTGTCCACAGGCGCACTGGCTAGTGTTACTTATCCCGCGTTTGTTAAAGTAACTCGGAAATGATCCGTGACCCGTAATGTATCTTACCAATTGCATGTTTGCAAGATTTTTGGTAGTGTCCACGTAGCTGACATGGTAATAAGTCCGTCGCCGGTATCGCTGTTATCCCATGTCTGCTGCCATTTTCCCAATTGCCTTTAAGCGCAATGTTCTTTTCAGGTAAGACACTGGCCATGGGGATTTGATTTGTTGAGATGTTGCTCCTGTGGCAGCTTCTTGGCTAGATGGTCAGCTAAACTCATTGCCGTGGTGGCCGGCATTCGCTTTGATCCATTCAAGTCTTGTATGGAGTTGGGAATTTTTTCGCAGATCTTCCTGTATTCCCTGAATAATATCGGATGGGTGGTCAGGGTTTCCTATTGCGTATAGTGAAGAAAGATTGTCTGTCTTTATTGTAGCATTGCGGGAGTGGTGGGATTGCAGGTAGCGGATTGCTTGCGCAATTGCCACTGCTTCTCCCTGAAAAACGCTATTACATTGCCTTAGTTGACCCTTCCATTGATCAATGACTGTATCTTGCAGCATAACCACATAGGCACTTCCCACATTTTCGTCTATCTTCAATCCGCCAGTGAAGATGGTAATCTGTGCTGAACGGTGGGCCGTAGTTGGATTAGTAATTATGCTTACTCCGGTGCCTTTGGCTGCTGGATGGATTTTCAGAGGGCAGCATTTAGCTTCATAGTCCTCTGGATTAAAATATTCTTTGTCAAAGGTGACAGGTCTTTTAAGCTGTAGGACGATTTGTCTTGCTGCCTCCTCTTCAACACGGATGTGTTGGGGAAGGAGGCCAGCCAGCACGTTGATCGCATCTGAAGAGGTCGTGCGGTAGGCTCTGGTGATACCCATGCAAGGGTCTTTGAATGTAGAAAGGTGTTTAATTTTTCTGCTTTGCATTGGGTGAGCCCATACTGCTGCTGCATAAGTGACTATCTTTTCCACCACTGTGGTGAAGAGGACCTTCTGAATATGAGGATTGAGGCCCCATTTGTGGCCATGAAATAATCGCATTTGCTTCGCTATTGTCACTGTTCTAATTTTGAGGTCCTGGATGTGTGGTATCCAGGTCATCTTGTGGTCGAACGTAAGGCCCAGATATTTTAGTTGATTGACTATTTGTATCCTCTGATTGTTGATCTTAATGGTTTGTTTTCTTGAAAGAGAACCTCTCTTTTTAGGTATTAATAACACTTTGGATTTGTGCTCTGCAATTTTCAGTTTAAGGTTGTCACATAGAGCGTAGAATTGTTGGCACAATTCGTTACAGTGAGTCTCTAATTCTCTTCGATTCGACCTTCACTATTAGCGCTGCGTCGTCTGCGTAGGCGTATCTGGTGTGCGCTGGCCATGTAGCTGTTAAAACTTCGTTGAAAGTTAGATTCCACAGTGTGGACCAGCGCACTACCCTTGTGGAGAGCCTCTCGTCTGCTCCTGTTCTATTATGCCTGAGTTGTGAACTGCTAGTAGTCTTCTATCCTGTAGATAGTTGCGGCCACCATAATGTATCAAAAGCGTTCTTGAGATCTATGCTTATCATGGCAGTATGGTGGCCGCTATATCAATTCTCTAAAATTGCTTCGAAGAGTGCGTGGACTGTAGAAGTGCCCGTCCTAAACCCGTATTGTATCGAGCTTATCCTTGCGTGTGTAAATGGTACCGTAGCCTGTTCATGATAATCCTTTCTAGTACCTTACCAATGCCGATAAGACAGATAGGACGAAAGGATGTGGCCTCGGCTGGGTTCCGGTTCTTTCAGAAATAAAATAACTTGCCCTATCTTGTAGGGTTTGGAGAATATACCTGCTGCCAGAAGCTCGTTGAAATAGTCAACAAAGAATTTATGGTGAGTTTTGATCATTGCTTTGGTGATAGCATAGTCCATCCCATCGGGCGTAGGGGCTTTCTTGGCGGCAGAGTTGCAAGAAACTTTTTGAAGTTCATTAATTGTAATAGCTGGGTTTGTTGGGGTGTCCAGTGTGGTTGTTATTGTTCTGAGAAGAGCTTGTTCTGCTATGTCCTGCAGTGCATCGTCTTTGCAGAAAACTGCGTTTAGGACCATCTGTAGGGTGTCTGCTGTGTACTCCTGACTGTTGGTGATTGAAAGAGGGGATCTGTAGCTGCGAAGGTTTAAAAATTTTACCGGTAGCTATTTTGGGGTGAATACCATACGTTTTTTTTGCTTGGGTGCAGAATTCCCTCCAGAAGGTAATCTTAGCCTGAATAATCATCTTTTTGTATCGCGCCCGCTCCCGTTGAAATATGGTAAGGGTGTTGGACTCTATCTCCAACCGTCTTTCGCTTTTGTGTTTTCTTCGCAGGGCTCTGCACTTTTGTTGCTGTGTTCTGAGCGCACTCGACCACCAGTTAATGCCTTGGAGTCTCTTAGGTTTTCTAAGAGGGAGATTTTCGTTACATATGGCTTGCATTGTTTCTTGTAATGTTTACAGAGAATCTCTAATTCTGCTGCCGTGTTAGCTAGTTGGAGCGAAGGTTCAGGCGCATTAGCTGCACTTTAATTTTCTTCGTTAATGTTGTTAATTCTGGCCAGGAAGGTTATAGCGTTTGATCTTGGACACGGAGGTGGTCTGCGATATAGAGAGGTAATAACTTGTGATCACTGAGGCTCTTCCTCTTCGACTTTCAGTCCTGCAAAAGAGGTGCTACGTGCAGAGTGGTCAGGGTGAGGTCTGCATCCCGCTCAAACCCCTGTCGAAGGATGGTGGTGCATCTGCTGTATTCTGAACTATTAGATTACTTGAGGATATGAAGTCCTCTAGTTCTCTTCCTTTCGGGTCTGTAGTTCGATATCCCAGGCCGTATTATGTGAATTGTAATCGCCTGCAAGATCATATTGGGATTTTTTAAATCGATGTATGATACTTGGTGAATCTTGTCGTCGGGCCAATATCCGCTGGGAGGGAGAATAGATCGACACTAAGATAACACGAAGGAATGTACTTCTAGGCACTGCACATGATCTTGATTATTAATTATTAATATCGAGTGAGATAGATGTTGGAGCCAGTCCGGATTACAGCTTATATTATAGCTTTGGTGGATGGTCGTGATTGAACTTAAATGTCCATTGCATGGAAAACCTGCTGCCACACCATCGCGGGTATATGGCTCTTGACCTATGATAAGTCTATTTATTATCAATGCGATTGAACTGTCTGAGCGACCGCAGCCCTGGCTCGCTGCATCTTGATTGTAAAATCGATGGGTTCTTCGTTTGAGTTAAACACTGTGTTATCTAAGCTTTTGTGCTTGTTGACTTTCGCAATACGTGGTGTGTGTTTAATATTGGGTGATCTTCGATGTAGCAGCTGCTCGCTGGTATTCTGCGCATTCATTGCGTAGGTGGGTGCCTACTCGTACATGGTTCCATGTCTATTGTTTGCGTCACGGCAGTTAATACTTCTGGTAGTTCTGCTTTTCAGTTTTTGACATGTGCGGTCCGGCGCAGAGGCACAGAATTTCTCATGCATGTGCATTTATCTGGTATGTCCGAGCTGCTGACACTTGTAGCAGCGACGGATGCCCAGGTACTCTGTGATTGCGTGTACGTGCCAGCCTGTGAAAATTCGTCTTCCCTAAGGCTGCCGGGAGGATAAACGGTTGGCACTCCAGGACCCATTTGACTCGCTTTGGGTTCCGTTCCTCGGAGTGTGAAGAACGCTTGAGCCTTTGGATGGGATTTCTGCTGTTGCAGCGATTTCCCCCTGAGTTCCTCGGGCATGTCCGGGACGTTATGAACAGTGAGCGTGGCTTCTTTGCCGTCTTTGCAGATCAATCTCAAGGTTGGCATTTTGTAATTTCTTCTAATTGATCTATGTCTTTAGTTGATTTGCAAAAGACCTCTAATTCTCCTTTCGATGTTGAGAAGATATGCTCCACCGCAATTTGTAGGCTGCTAATCGGGGCTTGGACGCCTTCGTGGAAAAGTTTTTAAGGGAAACTGATTCGTATATACGTTACACATGGGAAAAAACGAAAACGCCCATGCAGCCAAATTGTTCGCCGGGATTTGAACCCTGGACCGAACTGGCAGTGTTCAGCGACTTTACAGGACGTTTCTGCCAAACATTTTTATCCGAAATTTCACATTTTTTTTCGTCCATGCACACCATTTGAAATGAAAACACCATTTGGGAAATTATATTTAGGCATCATCTTTGTTTTAAAAAAATCATAGGTTTTAATTTTGTACCGTTCGCTAAACAGGAAAGCACTACGGTGAGGTGAGATTTTTCGTGACCTGGAGTTTAATCTATATTTTCAATACCTATCAGTAAATATTTAATTTTTTTTTTCCTTTGCAGGTCAATAATATATTTCTGAAAACTTATCTAGTTGCTGTCCAAATCTTTCGGAAGCTTTTTGCGGAAATTTTTATTTTTCCCTCGTGGAACTAAATTATTCCAGGGCTGTAAATCGACTGCACCCACTCCAAGTTGCTTTAAAGCTTTCACTTTTCTTCTAGGATACGCCAGTTCGTACTCGTTTAGGCGAAGCACATCTGTTCTTTGGGCATATAAATTATTGTAATTGCATTTTTCTTCCGCTCAGTTCTGAAGCTTTCACAGCACCAGACATCCTTGCTGAAGCACAATTCGCATTTTGCACTGAAGCCGGGCCACCTGGAGTATGTAAAGTACCCTAGTGTATCGGCGGACTTGCCGTCGGTGGAAAGAAATAAAAGCACCTTTTTCTCATATAAAAGATAAATAAACTTTTTAGGCCTTGCCAATTAGTTTGTAATATAAAAAAGTAAATTATTAAATGCTATGTATTCATTATTTACCACTGAATGTTTTTATTTATTAGAAAGAAGTGAACTTTTAATAATTATTTCTTGCTGATATCAATTAAATGGAAATATTAGCAATGTATTTAAAATCTGTCCAATGGCTGCATAAAAGTATACATGCTTTTATTACTAACATAAAATAAATGTGTATGAAATTTGTGATTTTTTTTATCTTATATCTACTCTCGTTATTAACGTGATCGTATTTATTCTTTTCTAAACTATTCATTTGTTAAGGTCATTCAAGAAAAGAAAAAGAAACTTTTGTGTGGAGACGCTGAAATTACTAAAAGGAAAAGGAAAGCATTAATGGATTTGTTGCTAGAACATCACTTAGAAACAAAGAGCCTTAGCGAGGAAGATATCAGAGAAGAGGTTGATACATTCACTTTTGAGGTAAAATGAAATTTTTAATCTTCAACAGCTAAAGAGTGAGTTCAAACTGTGACCTTATTTGATAATAAAATGGTACGATCTAATGTTCTAGCCGAAGGAAATTAATTTTTTATTTTAGTGATCTACTTTTAACAAAACTGTTAAAACATTTATTCCATACATTATTATTTTCGCACACTATAATCCCTATTAGAAAGACGAGTATGTTATATAAGGGAAAACGTGGTGGTACCTGTTAATTCGTTGGTTTTCAAAGTTACGCGGTTGGTGCCGGATGCAAAAAAAAAAAAAAAAAAAAAGCATGCATTTACTCAAACTCAAATTAATATCTGAAACCTCTGACTCCTAACCTGTGTAGAGGAAGAACTTTGTTATTGATCTAACCCACTTTACATTTAATAAACATTCTTAGAATCATTTAACTCTATCATTGCAAATTCATACTCAGTAAAACTTAACCTGAAAAACAAAAAGGAATAAATCTTCGCTGGTGCTTGGGTAACAGACAATGCTATCTCTCTGCTAATCCATTACTTCAATTCACATAAACTACATATTCAATCAATTTCTAAATTAACTCAAGAGCAACAAAGTTCAGTTTCATTAATTCAAAACCTCACGAACGTCAGAGAAGAAATATCCATACTGCAATCAATCATTTTCTCATATATAAAAAGTAATCAAGATTTTAAATACTTTCTTGGCACCTATGCTTATGTTATTTAATTAATCACTATTTAGGTATTTTATTTGTACTGAAATTGTAAAGAGTGTACTAAATATATATTTTTTTAACATTTAAAATCTTTAGCTGTGTTTATTTTCAATTTTTCTAACAAAGATAGAGAGCATTTTTTTCTGAATATTTAAAAAACTTTCTTGTTTACCAACGAATGTGAATAGCATTTACGATAAACCGGGAAGTCTTTCGCGCCGCGCGGTTTTTCTTTACTGGGTGGTAAAGGAAAATTTAATTGGCGTCTTTGCTTCACTTTTCGTAGCAAATGCTAAAGGTGTTGAATAAATGAGTTTCTTTCCGATGGGCGTCTGTAAATTTCTTATTTCAAGGGAAGCTGTGATTCTTATCTTTGGTTGTTTTTCCGCTTGTTAGCTGGGGTCAAATTTTGTTTCTCACTCGTTTGATGACTCAACTGGTTCCAGATATCAGCTGAGGTCTTTGTGATGCATCTATATTTCTATTTGTCAAAGGGAGTGAAGTTTTAACAACAAAATAAAAAGAGAACTTAGCAGTTTGGTCAAATTTAATTTTATTTGCAATTCTTCGACCTGTAGAATTTAGTTGAGTGGAGAAACCGAGTTTTCTTCGAGGCTTGTACGGGTGTTTAAGCTCGTGAGATAGTTTTGGATGAGATCGAAGGAGGATTCCGAAATCAGAATTTTCCCACCTAACTGAATTTATCGTGTATTTTATGAACTTTCAATACCTTTTGTTGAACAATCCACATCAGAGCCAATCAGGCACCTTTATACGAAGGATGGACTTGTGTATATTTCAAACGGCGACTTTTTTGAAACTTTTAATTTTACTTGTTTTAGTTTGTATCTACATGTTTTGTACATATTTTTACAATTATTTTGAAGTATCATATGTGCCATTTAAGTGAAAACTCAGAAGACTTTGCCTGTTTTTCTCACTTCACATGCAATCTAATCTAATCTAAATGACGTCAACACCTCTACTGAGATGTCCCCTGATTTGGATTGGTCTATCAGTATACAGATGATTCCATACGAACGGAGTCATGGTTTGAGTTTGCATTGATTACAAACCTATTACTCAAATCTCCATTAAGTTTTATTTTACGTCATGAATGGAATTTTGGGAGTGTAACCAAAAGTCATTTGCATTATTTGTACATATTTTCATCGGCGTAAGTGACACCCTACTAGATAAGGACTACAGACCGGGCATGACGTCACTGCCTACCATCAGTTTATTACTCCCACTTAAGGACCTGCTATTATTTCTCAGACCTGTGCTGTCTTGCGGTCTCTCGTTCTCACCATCAAAGCCTCGCTTTCAAGCACCAAGAAAACTCTATAGTCAGGTTGTCCATAGGGCAATTATTTCAAAGAGCCGGAACACGTCATACAAATAGTAGGATATTCGCGGCATATCAGCGGCACTTGGAGATAGTTTTGAGTTTTTGGAGTGGTGAAATTCGTTTAGGGGACGTCTGCCCTGTTGCGGGCTATCTGCGCAAGCGGGCTTGGGATGCCTTATCTTTATTACTAAAGGAGTATTTTTCTGCAAGATGATTAAAAATATTTTTTCTCCAATGGTGGGCACTTGCGTATAACGGCATTGGCCACCACTAAGGCCAGAAGTGGTGGCCTCTTTATTGTGGAGGCACCTATTAGGCGATGATTTAAAATATTGTGCAAGCTGCAAAGAGCTTTTTTTCTGCGAGCTGATTAAAATTTAGTGCTATCTGTAAAGAGCTCTTTACCGAGAAAAATTAGCACACATTTCCATTCTTCACCAGAATTTCCATATAATCTCTTCCGAACACGAAAAATGGACATTCCCGAAGTGGTTCCTGACATACGGACGTTAGAGATAGAAGTATTTGTCATTAAACCTGCGGTTCCTGACTCAGACGCGTTCCAGATAAAAGTATTTGTCATTGGTATCCGGCACCTACGGTTCCTGTCTCAGACGCGTTCCAGATACAAGTATTTCTCATTAGTATCCAGCACCTGCGGTTCCTAACACAGGGAAGTTCCAGATACAAATATTTTGTCACTTTCCGGCATATGTTATTCCTGAAAATAATGGACGCTTCCGAAAGTATATTTACCTGAAAAATGGTCTTCCCCTTTTTTCCAGCAATTTGTATACAGAATGAACTTCAACGTGCCAGTGATAGTTTATCTTCATTTTAAGGTGTTGGCTCAAGGAAATTGGACAATCCCTAAAGATTGTCGTTCCGAAAAAATAGACTCCCTTCTGTGAGTGATTATTTAATTTTTGTTCTTCACTGTAATTTCGGGTCGTTTATTCTCCCATCAATAAAATTCCGAGTTCCATACTCATGGAGCCCATTCCGGATATGAATTCCTGGGGTACTTATAGGATTTTTTTGCCAGTGTGGTTTAATTTACATTGGCCAAACTAAGAGAGCCTTAAAATTTCGCGTCAAGGAACATGAGGCATATGTTAGAAAAAAGGAAACACAAAAGTCTTCTGTTGCCCAACATTGTTGGTCCGAAAAATCACACTTTTAATTTTTCTGCTGCCAAAATTATTCAAAAAACATCTTCCATTGGAGAACTTGATTTTCTGGAGGCATTTCACATTAAAAAAAAATCGTTCTGTTCTAGTTAACGATCCTAATTTCAATCCATCTTTGCCTTCGGCCTTTAAAGAAATTGTCTTTAGTTCTGGTTTCATCAACAGATGGCTCCACAAGCTTATCTCCTGTCCTGGCTTTCTTATCTTATCTAATCATTTTATCCTATCTCGTTCATTTGCGCTTTTGCAGCTGAGGATGGTGGTTCGGTAAAACCATCGAAACTTATCCTGTGAAAATTCGAAACGCTGATTTTTGTTGTTTGACTTCGGAATTAGTATTTGTTCGGCGTGTTATTGTGTCTTAATTAATATAAGAATAAAGAAACTGAGCTCACTGAACCGAGTAAAAGAGTGTACATATAAGTAACATATATACTTTTGGTACGGCCGATTGCAACCAAAATACGAGGTGAACATCTAGCTGTTATGGCAAATTTCAACATTCAAAACAAAATGCATACATAATTTCAACGTTCTGAAGCTACACGTTTTTCAGTTATACGAGATACTAACGTACGTACGCACAGACGCTACGAAACAGAACGCTCTTCAGATTTCATTTCAAAACAGTTTTATATTTTTTTGGGGGGGCAAGAGTCTTTTATTCTGCCCTTATGTGCAGACGCCGCTCAAAAATTGCATTCGATAGGCTTCAAAATGGATATTTTCGTTGAAATATGATGCGCAGAATTTTTCGCGATTACAATACTTTCTTTTTACTTCGTACAAGGAAGTAAAAAAAAAAAAAAATTAGGCTTAGCCACAATTAAACAACTTTTAAATTGGTGATAATTCTACAAATATTGCATGTAGATTGCATGTAGAGGCATGAGTACCTTAACCGGAAGATAAGAATAACCTAATTCAATCATTTTTAAAGCAAAAAATGCACAATTTTCCGATATATAAGAATAACAATACTGAGCTCTCTGAGCCGAGTAATATATTGGTGTATGTATGTATATATATATATATATATATTTTGGCTTTTAATTTGCTTTTTTACTTTTATACGTGTTTGTTAAATTTAAATTTAAATTTGTTTAAATTTAAATTTTAAATTTAAATATATATATATATATATATATATATGTATACACCCAAAAGAATATATATAGATATATACTTTTGGTGCGGCCGATAGCAACCAAAAAGGGAGGTACACAACAACATACTAAAGCATAGGCATATATCTGTCTGTATATATATAGAGAGAGAGAGAGAGAGAGAAATAGCATCAAAATATGTTTTACATAAAATATTTGGGTGAACTGGTATAATTAAATAATTTAGAATGATTCATCAACTAATTTTGGATTAAAAGAAACACAGTGTTTTTCCAAGGGGCTCAACTGAATCTGATCCACCTCCTCTTGAGAACGCTGAATCAGACTTTGATTTTATTCCCCCTCCTTACATAATTTTTGTATTTCCCATATCTATTATTCTTCTGGTTTGGTAACTATTGTTATTTTTTACATATTTATAGGGAATTTTGGTTTTGAATTTCATTTATTTCAGTATTTGGTTCTAAATTTTTTATTATACATATATAATGTGCTAACAAAACTTTTCTCATAAAATTTTGTTGTGGAAGATACAACAAGACTCTACTGAAAGTCGTAGCAATATTGAGCACCACCATATTACCGTATTACTTAAAATTTAAACGAAAGTAAAACTTATTAACTAAATAAACTTTTCGAACTTCTGCGCATTTTTACAAGTATATTGCACAAACTGTTTAGTATACATAGAGTTCGAAAATGAGCAAACATCTGCTCATTTTCTCACTTTGAGGCACAATAATTATTTTCTAATAAATTTTATTCATTTTTAGAAAACTTATTGCCCAACTTATAGTTCAGTGCACACTGAAATCATAATTCCTTAAATATAACGACTGAATATTCATATGAATACTAAGAGATATATATGTCTTTCTCCTGTTTGGAAAAAAATGTACTTGTTAATCAAAGAATATTATTTTAACATGTAGTTCAATGTTCAAGACGAATTACATGTTCTATAATTCTTTAAAATGTAGTATGTCCTAAAAATAAATTTTTAGGGAAATTTACTTTTAGAAAATTTTTATCACATAATATAATCATTTTTATTTATTTCATGTTAATTTAGGGCCATGACACCACTTCTATGGGTATAAGTTGGGCTTTGTATCTAATAGGACTCCACGAAGATGTCCAAGCAAAATTGCATGAAGAAATGGACAGAATATTTGGAGATGACACTGAGAGACCTGTGACCACAGATGATCTGAAAGACATGAATTACCTCGACTGTGTGCTAAAGGTACGAAACATGCAGTACGTTTAATTACGAACTATACATAAACAATCCCTTACATGACTAGATATTATTCCAGCTTTTGTTGTTTGACTTCTGAATCATTATTCCAGCTGTTGTGTTGAGGGCTTTCTTGTTCTCCGAAATATTTTAAGAATCACTACTTATTGATCTTAAGCGGCTATTTGTTACTAATTCTCAGACGCGTATTAAATTGTATTAAAATATCATTATTATTATTAGAGATTTGTCAGGATAGGTCTCTCATCCTCTATATTCGTTACGTAGATAAACGGAGACTCACTGCCACTCGCGTGCTTAAATTCTAATTCAAATCCCAAATAAAGCTTGAGCATGAATGACAGCACTCTCTTTGCGGAACTGAGACATGACACGAAAATCATGTCAAAAGGATGAGATGTCCTTATCGGTGTAGTGGTTAGCGAGACTAGCTGCCATATTGTTGGGCCTAGCCTTGAATCCCGGAGAAGACTTCGATGTTTATTAGAGTACCGTGTCTGTGCTGCAAGGATAAATTAAAATACAAAAGTCCTGTCGAGAATTCCAATGTTAGAGGAAGAGGAATGGTAGACTTTATAATCTCCCACCTCGAAGTATTCTTCATGAAAACCTGGACAGAGCTGTACCATTATTGCGGTGGGGATTATAGAAGTAAAACTGATGGTGAAGTTCTGGTGATCCACTTGATTCTTCATAATAAGACCATCGGACTTATTCTTTAGAAAACATTTCTCAAACGTTTTTCAAATGGGAACCACTTTTACAAACAAGAATGTTATTCAGTGTTCTGATGACCACATTACTCTCTCTTCCTTCAAAAGGACTTTTTACCACATGTTTCTGTACTTAACGTATTTCTTCACGTATTTTCTGCCCCCTTTTGTTTAAGTAATTATATCGTCCGAAAATCAAAAGGGGAAAATTACGCAAATAATTTAATTTTCGAAGCACAAGACTACAGTTAGAATATAATGAATGAAAAGTAGTCAAGGATAAACCTTATAAGACCTTATAAGGTGAGATATAAACTTAGAACAATGAGAAACTTTTGCATGATTATGTTAAGTTGGTGTAATGCAAAAACGAACTTCTATTCTAAAGTGATATTCTAAAGCGTTGTGGTTATTGAAGTACTGCTAGCTGTGTTTCCACTTCTTAAATCGTTCTTACACAAATAGTCCACAGATTGTGAAGATATGCATCCAGCATAATTCATAGCAAAATAATACACAATATTTGCAGAAGTTTTCGTCTTCTACTGTAGAGTATAGCCAGGGATACTTTCGTATCATCCATACTAAAAGTTTCTGGAGAACGTGCAGCGCTGCTTGACGGGAATTTGTAATTTTCGGAGGGCTTTCTTTACGTTTCAATAACATCAAATAATCGTAGCTTATTACAAGGTTTCCGCAACCCTCACAAACCGATAAGCTCGATATAATTATCATCTATAGTTAAATTTTTGAGGGCAGAACAAGCTCTTCTCATTATTATCAGTACTATGACTACCTCAGAAACTGGAACTAGGTATGCCGTTACCCATTACAGAAATACAGCTATCTACTACCAATAAGGAACTACTATGGATCATCACCACCACTATTCTCGACTATTTCTGCCTCCACCACATAAGCTTTTGTTTATTTCGCTTAAAAAGAAATTCAGCAGAGAAGCTTGTCTTCTTTTTTTCTATTTTTTAGGCGGGGTGGGATCTAGAATAAGAAAATTATACTAATGTGATTGATTACTCATGTAGGAATTTATATAATCACAAAACGAATTTTTTTTGACTGAGGACACTAAGTACGCATAATAATTTAATGATAATAGTTATGCTCAAATTCTCATAAAACAGTGCTCAATTACAATGAGCATACAATAAGTGTTACAATAAATGCTCAAGAAAAATTAAGAAATTTGACAAAACATTAATCACTAATGCCAAAGGTCCAAAATTATGGAATATCAAACCACATGGGCTTAAGTAAATCAAAATATTTTAACTTTTCACGCTTTACACACTTCATGTTACAATAAGTACAAATATTGGGTATTATTTTGCTAAGAATTACAAAAGACACTACAAAGCGTTCCATAATTTAATTAAAACACAATGAAATAGCTAGCCGAAAAATGTTTTTGGCGCGTCAAAGCTACAAGTACGAGCGGAATGACTAGAAAAGCAAGAAAATTTTCGAGCCTATCAAGCCAGAAAGCAATGTTGCCACTTTTTTTACAAAAAGAAAAAGAAGGAGATTAAAACCAAATGGGAGTAAAGATTTTTAAAAAATCAAGAATTCTCTTTTAGCTCTGTGAGTGAGTGGGGAACGCAACTCCATAGCTATCTCCCTGGATTCGCAACAGGCTGTAAGTATAAATTTCTGTTCTGCATTTTGTTTTCATTTTATAAATTCCTATGTAAAGCGTAGAAAAGTTCTGTATAGGGTGACAGCAAATCCCGTATAGGTTATATACTTGTACTAAACAGATATTTAGCTTGGATGAACGCCATTATTTTCTAATACTATATAAATAAAATTAATGTCATAAATCTGATATATGTAAAATAAAGAAGCCTGACATCACATTACTGCAGTATTACAAAATAATTTATTACTTATTTAAATTTAGGAATGCCAAAGGCTGTATCCTTCGGTACCTATGATAGCAAGACATGCTACTGAAGATACCAAGTTTTGTATGTATTAGATTTTTTCATTATTCTTAATGTTATGCATCAGAATATACTTTTTCTAACATTTTGTGTTATGAATTAACACTTTCTGTGAATAACTAATTTGAAATATGTAATGCATTTTAATGCTTTGTTTAAATGTGGAAAGAAAGAAGATGGCAATGTAGTTTTTATTTCTTAAAAATTTAATGCGTATAAAATTATTATTTTACATAATTCAATTGACATAAATAAAGGGAATTACTTTATTTTCATTAAATCCAGAATTATATTTAACTGAAATATCCGCGTCAAAGCGATTATTACTGATATTAGTAATACAACTGAAAAGCTGTTTAATAATGTACTCAAAAATATAAAATTTTGTATTTAACAATAGAGAATATCTGAACCAACTCACCATTCAAAAACAAACAGCATCGTAAAAATACCAAATATAATTATACCTCTTGGTAAATACACCTGTTAATGTATGTAGCATACGATAACTACACTCAAGTAATAAAGATATTTTTCACATGGTTATTAATAACTTCTGTTTCTAAACTTATAAATCTATATCACCTTCCTTTTCAGTAATTAGGCTTTCGGTAGTATTCTGTAATCAGGCTTTCGATAATACTCCAGTGTTGTCATTTCTTTATTAAAAAAGGCTTTAACAGATTGCAGATAAAAACTAAATTAATAAATCTGAAAGTTAGACGTTAGTGTTTTTCTACAATAATATACTAATTTAATAATTCTACAGCTAAATTTATTTACTTTCTCTTCCCTCCTCTGAAGATCACAAATATTTTCTTTTTACAGGTGGTTACACTATACCTAAAGGAGCTTCATGTACGGTATTAACTTACGAACTGCATCGCGACAAGGATGTTTTCCCAGATCCGGAAAGATTTGATCCTGATCGTTTCCTACCAGAAAATTCTCTTAATCGCCATCCTTATGCTTATATCCCATTTTCCGCGGGTCCAAGAAATTGCATCGGTAAAAACTATGTTATATTTTATTTTAACAACTGTAATATAATAGACTATGCAACTATAGAATTTTAAAGTGTAACAAGGTATAATATAAACATAGAATGTATGCATTCTATTAATTATAATGCATCATACACTGCTGGCTATCCAAAATGCAACACGAAGGATACTAAACGCAAATTTATTTCAGAGATTACACATAATGTCGATGTTAATTAATTTGAAGTACAGCCTTCTTTGAGATGAGGAAGACGAGAACATTTGTGTGTTTTGCTTCCATGTTTCTCAATAACCGCTTCTGCACGTCGCGAAATTAAGTAAATGAGGCTTTGGGTGTATTCTTGGGGAACGGCAGCTCATGCTGCCGCCACACATACCAAAGTTTGCGGAGTCTTCTTATGTGTGTTGGGAGCATAAACTGGTAGACATTTCTGAAAGACGAAGTAGCGAATTCTCGCTAGGTCTAGGACGAACAAATGACCACAGACGAAAGTTATAACAACCTTTTTATTTTAAGTAAACGGAAATGCACTTACTCGGTGCTCACAAATTTAACCACCACTTGTGGCACAGAATAGTATGTACAATCACAACGTATTAACTTTTAGCTACAGGAGTGGCTACTACTCAATCTAAACCCCTTGATTAGATGCACACAGCAAACCCGAGCCGAGATTATTAATATAATCTATAGAAAACTGGCTAGTAACAACAATAGAAAAACTTGGCTAGTAACAACAATAGAAAAACTTGGCTAGTAACAACTATTTAATTACAGAATTACATTCGGACACACGGGATAAATTCAGAATTAACTCTCCTACCACGAATTCTTAAAATCTGTTATTTAAATACCGCTTCCGAACTCACTTAGATTTGCATATACGTCATTAAATTTGCATTCTGGCAGGAAATTGAAATCAGAACGGAAAGGAAAGTTTCTTAGAGTAAAAATAATTTGTTAGAACAAAATAAGGTTGTAAGGATCTTAAGTTTTACTAACGTTTATTTTATTTTAAATCTTTACTATCACTTCTTATTTTCTACTTCCGGCCAGAATTATAAGCGTGAAGGAGTTTATGCAAAGTTGTCTGGCGAACGCCAAGTATTTAAGTGTGGCCTTTTTGCCAAGCAGAAGAGAGGAAGCCGTGAGTTCGAAGCAGGCCGCTTACCTTAGAAGTTACGCAGTTGCTACTTTGCCTTCCAGGCCAGAGGTTTTTAATCCTCTTGATAAATTAAAACGTATTGTAGTGTTCACAGTCTCTGTGCTACATACGCTTCCTGTTATTATAAGGCCAATCTTATTCTAAAGTTTAAATTAGAGTTTAGTTTTATTTTGATATCTTTTAAGTTAGACCCCGAGTGGAGGGTCATTGTATTCCGAAGTACGGAAGTCATTGTATATAAAGAAAAAAAATAAAGGGTTTTGTATACCCTTCGTCTGTATCCTGTCTACTTACTACAATTAGTGAACATAGCTTTAGTAAGCTCTCTGTTCTAGTCAGGTCATTGTATGTTTCCGAAGAAGGTTAGAAGAAACATTGAACCTGATAAGGTTATTACAAGTTCATTTGGTGTACCTGCGTGTCCGATATGCCGGGCTAGGCGTTCTCCAATCATTGAGCAAACATGTTCTATGGGCAATAGATTTGGAGAAAGGACAGGCCAGGGTAACAGCGCAATATCTGGGCTAAGAAGGAAGCTTGAACATTGCGTACAACGTGTGGTCTATTTCTGTTGTGTTACCACAGGTAAGCCTTAAAGGTAAAGAAGAGAACAGGCTTAAAAACCTCAGAGATATAGCGCTGGTAGCGGAATCCAATACAACTCCACATAATAACACCGGGTGCAAGACCAGTATGCTGATGCACCACTACAAATGCAAACGCCTGTGGTTTAAAGTAAAAGGTAAACTAAGCAACGGACGCATAGCGGACAATCCATCATACTGTAAATGATGTCTAATTATTCATGCAGACACTTATTCTTGTGTTACACACTGCATTCGTTGTGATACTGTATCGAACGTGGCGGTTCGCTCTATCAGTACCATCCGCACAACATGCCTGTCTTCCCCTGGAATGGTGCGTCGAAGCGGTTGCAATTAGTTCCACCCTAATGGCATCCACCGATTCGGTATTACTGTTGCTTGGCTACATGGGACACGATGAACGATTTCCCTGAAGGATAATCCGCAATCTCTGAATGCAACGAATCTGCCTCGATCGAACTCAGAAACATGCTTTAATGATGGTCGTGTTTTTTTTCTACGAGGCACACTGAAGCTGCTCTCATAAATAAAAGGGAAGAATTCACGTTATTCAAAATGGAACTATTTCATCAATTTATATATGGATTGTAAGGAGCATTGCAGTCGCCCATGATGTGCGCGTGCGCAAAGCAATTTGCATGTTCCACCGCGGTATTCACATGATGCAAGTTTCATTCTGTTTGTATGCTTCCTTCAGTATTTTGCATTTTGGATTGCCAGCAATGTATTTGTTCCCTAATGATTCCTGTAAGCATTTTGTTCACGAGAAAGAGGAAAACAGACGAAAATTTTCAATTTTACTGAACTACTCCGCCCTCCACTAAGTAAGTAACTTTTCTTGGATTCATTCTTACAAATTCTCTCACATATTCTCCACACATACGTGCTATTATTCAAGTTTCGAACGTGTAAATCCAAAGTCTACCCCTTAATTCCTCGAAACAGCATTCTATCAGTAGACAATCCATTTTGCATCTCATGCTATGCTACGCCCAGTCTGGGTATACTCTTGTAGAACAAATGGGAAACAGCTGCAAACGGCGCAGAACTCCGTTTTGCGTCAAATTATTAACTCACGCTGGTGAGTTCGAAATAACGCTATGCACGAGGAATTGAAAATTATTCAACTGCGTGCATTTTATTACCATTTGACAAGACGCTTTGAAATCAGAATTTATAACTATGATTACAAGACTATAAATAACACGAAAAGGGCTATAGCAATCTTAAATCTCAGAACTATATTGGAGAAATAACGAATTCATGTATTTTTTGTTACGTAACTTTATTCATGTAACTTCTGTTATACCTTCTGTAAATTTGTATCTATCAGTGGTAATTCTTTTTTTTTTTTTTTTTTTTTTCCCTCTACCAAATGGCGGGCACTTGCCTATAACGGCATTGGCCACTATTAAGGCCAGAAATCGTGGCTATTTTGTTGTGGACGCACCTAATAGACGGGCACCGCTACCCTGCTATGAAGGAACTGACAATTTTACATCTATGCCTTCTCCAGGATTCGAACCCGGCCCCTTTGGTATCGCAGTCAGGCTTCCCTAACTACTATAGCTTCAAGGCGGCCATTGGGTAATTCTTATTTACTTTTATGTATTGGGACCAGCTCAGCAGCTTTCGCATTTCTTTTTATTTTTATAATTTCTAATTTTTTTTAGGAAAAACATTAATACTACTTTTCTACTATTTTACATATTCCTTAAGTTGTTTCTGGAACCTCTATAGTATTTTATCAAATTTATTCGATAAACTGTAGGGCACTGTGCCCAGGAGCCCCGATGTTTGGCAGTGTTTTACCATGGAGGTGCTTATTTTGAAAAAGCACGCGTATATTATCAAAGCGATTTCTAGATTTTGTTTTTTATGTGCGAAAGTGATAAAAATCCCATTTCATGTAAGTGGGTTGCAGCAAATGAAACAAGAGTATGTAGCCAGCTATGGATACATTCCGTGCATAACAGAATTATGTTTAGTTCACGTTTTCAAATTCAGTTTGCATGCGTGAATTTGCTCCTATTTTAATCAGACTGTTCTTTTTTTTTATGACATCAAATTTGTGCCGGATAGAAGTGGATACAGTATTCTATATCAACTTTGCTAATACTTTTCCCGTAGTAAAGTATCCAAGAAATGAGTCACTGTATTGTTGGAGATGTTTGGCAATTTCAAGTATAATTGTTATTTTCTCATTTCTGTTACTGAACATTTCAGAACTCATTTCAGTTACTGAAACAAGTAAAGAAACGTGTGTCAGAATTTTCATTTCAATTTGCTTCAAAATTTTAGTTTTTTAATAAATGAAAATAATTTTTCGCTAGCTATTATTATGGTTTCACCAAAGCCTTAATGTGCTTAGTATATTCAGGTAATCAAATATATCTGCTAAGTAGGCAAACTGAAATATTGCGTATCTTTTTTTTTTTTTTCAAAAGCAATACTTAAATCACAATTTTGTTTAGCAATAAACTGTGTAATCTCCTCTTCTAATTTAAAACTTTTGCTTAAAGTATGTGGCCCTTGGAGAACCACTGTACTTCGGTGCAATAAAAATGCAGAGTATGTACAGCACCCGTTTCACCTTAAGAAGCACAAATATACCGTGATTAAGTGCTTTGGCTCTAATATACCTTACTACATTACATTTACTACAGTCGTTAAATATTGTTCTTAATTCGCTGGGAAATCTTTTGATGCGAATTCATGATTATTCTATAGTAACTTGCAGCATTTCAGTCTTGATGAATAACAAAAGTCCAACAGTTTTGCCCAATATTTGCAAGAGCAATCTCATCCTGTCGTATTCTTGAGTATTTGATACTTTTGAAAATGCCAGTTCAATACTTCCATCACTTCTTTTTCTTTCGTTTATCGCGCAAACATCAACATTTAACTTCAGTTATCAACTTCAGTTAATTCGCTCAGTTAACTCTTCAGTAGTTTTACTTGCAGTTTACTACTTCAACCAGATTTTGAAGAATACGCGATTGAATCACATCGTTCAATAACAGAATCCGCTAAATATGTGCTTCAATCCCCATGTGTGTATTCACGCGCGCGATTCTGCTTCAGAACCCAACACAGTTTTTACAATTTCTCAAATGCACATGGATTTACCAGTTCTTGATAGGTTCTTTGGTCTTTTTTCTTTTCTAAGTATACAAATATGTCTCTAGAAGTTTCTTATCATAATATATATGATAAGAAACTTCTATACACTTTTGGATTACGACCACGTCAGATATTGTGATTGTACCATTGATTGCCTTCTTCCAAAGGGTATCAAATTGTGGCTTCTTAGATTTCAAGACATTAGGACTATGTCTTGCAGGTTCACCATGATGCTGATTGTTGAAATGCTGTAATAACTTTCATATCTGGATTTTGAAAACATTTTGCAACGTAATAATGCTTTGGTGTTCGTTGCTTACTCTCCTTTTTTGTTGCAGTTTTGAATCCATGAATTTAATCCATCCATTCATCATTTCCCATTGTGCAAATTTCTGTTGTCCGCCAATGGAAAGACCATCCATTATGGTCTTTCTAATTGGCGTTTTTCTCACATAGCGAGAGTAATTTAATCAGTAGCATGTGTTGTTCAAATAACATAGAATTGAAACATCACAAACGACAGGGCATTTGTTTTTGTTATTAAACGAGGCAAAAAGAAAGCTTAGAACACATGAGCTTAATCCTAAGACGGATAGAAAAATAGAACGCGGGATCGTCTATGTTCGTCGGTTTCAGAAAATTTAGATTTAAAATGACACATTTCGTTTCTTCCTTTTCTTGCACATTTTAACTTTTTTCTTTTAAATTTTTATGAATCTTCCCACTTTTAGTTTAGGCTAGCATTTGGTTAACACTCGGAAAATTCTTTTGCGCTCGAACTTTATCGTAAACTTTGTCCTAAACGTTTGCCGTAACGTTTACTAGTAGTTCCTCATGGGTGGGCAAATGCCAGTTTCTGTTAAAAACCTAGAAAACTTCTGTCGCACCGCTTATGTTCAAGATATACTACTGAACGCTCACGGTTCACTACTATACAACTGAAAGCTCATGGTTCACTACTACAATTTTAGTTTGATTTATAATTTCCTCACAGATACCCCAAGCGAATAAAACACTGTATACACTTAATTTTTCTATTCTATTCTTAAAGTGTAATACTAATGGTGCCATCTATCGGTAAAAAGTTTAACTATATTCTCATGTTGAAACAAATGAGCCTTTGTGATAAAATTTAACCGTACTCAGAACGTCAGTTTGCTGATTTTATATGAATTTTAAGGGAAATTTCTAATTTTTTGTGATATCTAGTATTAAGGATTTGTTAAGTAAATGATAAATTCAATTAGTAATTTTTGCGTTGTTTTAGTTGTTTGACATTCCGATTACTTTCAGGTCAGAGATTTGCTATCATGGAAGAAAAGACTGTAGTCTGTCATATTTTAAGAAACTATACGTTGGAGTCACTGGATCCAAGGGATATCATATCACCAGCAGCGGAACTTATTCTACGGTCATCAACACCCATCAGAGTTAAATTTAGGTCCAGATATCCGAAAGAAAGTCGAAGCGATGGGAAAAATTTATTACTAGCAACAGTATAAAATAATTTACAACGTCATTTTAAATTGATTATATAATCACGCATGTTTAATCTAACTGATTGTACCAATAACAATTAAAGCACTTATTTTTAAAGAAAAACTTTTGTTTAAAAACTTAAGCGATAATACGAGATGATATTCGAGATATTGTTTCAGAACTTGATTTGTAAAATATTTTGAAGAACATCGATGATTGCCCTTATTTTATCCGAACAGGAAAAGGTGAACAGTATTATTAGAAACGAACGCTTGTAATTGTAAATAAAATTATGTTTTAATTTGATTTTGTTGCTTTTTTCCCCCATAATCTCGATTGCTTTGTTTTTTTGTGTTTATGTAATCACTAAATATAATAAAAGAAAGAGTCTATGCGTTTTCCGTTTGTGCGGTGCGTAAGCTGATAGACCCAGGGCTACGAAATTTGGTATATGGGTTTATCTAAACAAGAGCCAGTGCACCTCGAAGCGATTTTTTCAAAATTCGAATAAGATTTTTTTTTTATTTCAACTTTTCGAATTTATCGCATTATTTAGAATAGGTTCCTTCTTTTACAAATGTGGTTTTGGGCAGCAGTTTTTTATTCAGTTGTGTACTGCTTTCATCAGTTGTCCAGTCTTTCATCAGTTGTGTACATTCAGTTGCTGACTGTTGAAAATCAGCAACTTAGAAAACTGAGGACGATAATTCTGCGCAGTTTTTCAATTTAATGTTTCTCTTGGATACTGGACATCTGTTGAGAAAAGGCAACGGGAAGCTGGTTAATTTATTTATTAGGATAATTAACATTTGTATTAAGGAGGGATATTGCCTATTTCATTAATTTGTTATATTATATATATATATATATATATATATATATATATATATATATATATATATGTAATAATAAAATTCAATAGTCAAGAATACACTTAAATTTCTAACTGTATGTTCTTTTCATTTTTAATGGCGATGGTCTCTTATTTGAAAGTACGTGGAATTAAATTCACAGCCCCGTAGTCAAGTTGTTTTTCCCGCCTTTTCTACAGGTATAGTTATAGAATGTTCTGGAAAATTTTAAAGCGAACTGGATTGGCTGACGAGGCTGACGTCATTTCTTGGAAGCTCCGCCTTTCCAGAGGCTATAAAAGGACTCGCAAAGGAATATCGGGTGCTTTTTCTTAAATGTCACGATGCAGTAAACTTCATACAAAAAGTTATTAGTAATTCTTTTCTATTTACTCCGGAGATCAGATTTTTGTAATTGCTATTTCCCCTGAAATATAATAAATGGATCATGTTTTTTAAACTTATCGTCTGATAATTTAGACTACATCTATGATTCTTCACCAATCTATTTATTCCGGACAAAAGCTGGTACATCACATATATATATATATTTTTATTTGTGTTTTTAGTCCAAAGTGGCTTTGTCTCTGAAGGACTATTGTATCCGTTTTGCGATTTTGCGTTGGTACACTATAAATGTCCGTTTCACTTTTCAAACTGTGGCCACCAAATGTTAGAGTCCTGCATTATATTTTAAGAAATTAAATAATGAAAAATCTGCATAAATGTATGAATATTTCTCGCATTGTGATAAAACAACGGTACATAGAGCTATCGAATTTTGAATGACGTAATCTTACTGCGAATATGGGCATGTGGAAGACCAAATTTAAAATTTGGAATTTGTTTTATTATTGATTTCATATTTTGTAAAACTTTCACAAAATTTTTTATTAACAAACTCAAGGATTTCAAAGCGAGCAATGGCAACGTTGTACAGAAAAAAAAATTTTTATCTCCAGCGCGCGAGACTCTGTATCGAAAATTCTAAAGATATGCTCAATTTAAAACTATTTTGCGATATGGCTGTTGAACTGAATTTTATGGTTTAAGTGCGAAGAACATGATATTTAATAAATAAAGATAACAGACAAAATGTTTAAAAAAACGCCATTTTGGACGTAATTTAAAATCTGAAACCTTTCAGATTTTCTTTTCTTTCATTTTTTTTAATGAATTTGTTCTGCATACTAAAATTCTGCAGAGTTTATTAATTTAACGTTTAGTGTTCCCTTCAGACATTTTTCCGGTTCATTTAAAACCGAGGCGAAGGCTGGCAGCGTAACTACTAGTATATATATATATATTACGGTGAAACACCGAAATCTGGAGAATGTTGACTTTCACCGGTGAATGTCGACATTCACATAGTCACTTGCTGTATGTCCAAAATCTTTTCGAAATACTCTTATTTCTGACTGACACCGGTAAATGTCGACATTCACCATGTACTAATGGTGAATGTTGAACATATAAGAATATTATATTTTCTTCTCCGTAATTCAGTCGCGAAAAATCGCACTTGAAACTTAAAATAAGAACTTAAAAGACACAGTACATTCAAAATGAGAAAGGGAAATAATAGAAGTTAAAAACTTACTAAATTATGTGATTCAAATCCTATTTATTATTGCAACAACTCAAACTATTATGACACTTTGAATTGCACAAGAGACCCTTGCTTTTACAACTGTATTTATTTGTGGAATAGTTTCTTTTGCAATGACAGCGTGTACATATAGTACTCCTCTCTTTTCGACCTACACCATAGCATATCTGTGATTGTCGACATACACCGGTGAGGGTCCGAATGTACAAGAATGTAATGCAATATTCGATCTTTCACCGACGTATTTGGTGAATGTTGACATTCTCCGGTGAAAGTCGACATTCTCCAATTACGGTTTTTCACGGTAACATATATACATATACATATATAATGTATAATGTATGTTTCTGTATTTCCCCCGTGTATCATTGTAACATGTGGACATAATTTTGGATATGAATTTTTGATGCTTTCTTTGGCATCCGATGTGACGTTGCTGCCTGGTACTCTACTGATAGCTGGATAGATACTAATTCTTCCTCCAAGTCATCAGTCTCAATTTTTGATTTTTATTCTGAACTTTCCTCATAGAAAATTTTAACTCGAGTTTTGTATGTGTGCTAAAACAATACTAAATACAAGGTTCTAGTTAAATGTATAAGTATAAGTCAATGGTAGCTGCACGTTGATCAGTTGCAGAAACATTTAATGGAAGGGGGGCGATCTAGAGAGGCAGATTAATCTTTTAATTTTAAAACATAGCCCGTAGACATTTTATACTATCTGGATCATAAATTACATACATCCTAACATACTGGCGCCTGAGTTTTGCCTCATTTCAAATATAAAAGAATCCCGAGATGCTTTCTACTTTTAAATTAATTAAGATCTTAAAAATCCTGTATTTAAAATAATCATTAAAAAAAGGCAAAACATAGTTTGTGCATGGTGCACAAACCATTTCTTTCGAATATTGGAAAATTTTGTAAGTAATTTGTACCGAACAAATTAGAATTCAATAGGAAAACCATTCTCATAGTAATACATAGGTCAAAATTCGAAATTGAGAAATTGGTATGTATGAAGAAAATTTAAGTGTCGAATGGAATAACAGCTATATCCAAAATATATTGGGATGATCGGAAAGTAATGCAAGATTGAATTGCATAGAAATACACTCTTTTGCAAAACCGTCGAAGCACCAAGAAGGACTTTTGCGATCTTGACGAAATTGGTACGAAAAAACATATTGATCGAACATGCAAATGATCAAAGTTTCAAGGCAAATGAACAGGAATTGCGATCATAGTGCGCATTCTTGTTGCGCAATTCGCAAAGTATAAAACCAGTAACAGAGGAAGGTATCATTGTCGACTATTCAACGCACTACAGCCACGTGTGGTGTATTTACCATCTCACGACGCTTGTCTGAGGCGAGAATACGCTCACAGAGGCCTTTAAGACGTTTGCTTTGGCCCCACAACATCGGCGATTCGTCTGGAGTGGTGTCGCAGCCAATCATCATAACTGCCATCAGACTGGCATTGTACAGCGTTGAGCGATGAATGCCGCTTCACTCTTGAAGCAGATAACCACCGTGTTCGTGTCTGGAGAGGACGGGGCCAGCGGTCCCAATCAGCCTTTGTTTTACAAAGGCATACAGCCATAATCCCTGATGTGATGATGTGGGGCGCTATTTCTTACCACAGCAGGTCATCTTTAGTCATCCTCCGTACATCTTTAACAGTTCAACGATATGTTGATACCATCCTGCGGCCGGTTTCATCACCCTTCATGGCACGTCATCCTGACGCCATTTTCCAACAAGGTAATGCCACTCGCTCACACATACCGCTCGCATATCTCTAGACTGTTTCCGTGCGGTTGATACTCTTCCTTGGCCAGCAAGGCCACCAGACCTTTCATCAATCGAGCATATCTGGGACATAGTAGGCCGCCAAATTTGGGCACCACAAAATATCGCAGTTCTGGAGTGACAATTGATGAATGCCTCTTAGAATGTGTCGCAGGATAACATTCGAACTTCTACCACTCCTTGCCTCGACGAATCCAAGCATGCATTCTGGCCAGGGACGGTTCGACCAACTACTGATTTGAACACTTAATGGGTGATTATAAGCCGTGAACAGGTACTGTCACCTTGATTTTTTAAACATTTTATTATCTGTGTATGAGCTATACGCATATTCAATTTCATTAAAAACCACCACTTCCTTCATGGTGCTTCGTTTTTTTTGCAAAAGAGTGTATATCAGTGTGATTCTGCAATCGAAATTTACAAATTATTATAGTCTTTATGTCATTCTCCTTCTCTTCTAACTTGAATGAGTTAACATTTCGTTAATTTTACTCGTAGATAATAAATGCCGTATGATAAGCTGTTTATTTTCTACAGTGTTATGTGTTATGAATTTTATTTGCCTGAAAGGTGCTATTAGTGAATATCAGTTCTAAAGCTGGTTTAAAAGATATCGGGGTGGATATTTTAATCTTCAGAAGGAGCTTTAAAGTTGGCTACCATGATAGGTAGAAAATGATAAACTGAATGTCTGATGGAGTCACAATAATGCATAAATTTAACTGCCATTACATCTCTATCACGCTGTTTATTGGTGATTGCAACATTTTATTTCTGACTTCTGGATAAAATGACTTCGTCCATTTCATCCAAACTCAGAAATGAAGGACAGCTACTTCATTTCTTATGATAAACTCTTCCATTTGCGCGCAATCATGTTACCAAGCAGAAACTCGTGTCTTGTTAGGTTCGTGATCACTTGGAAAGATCTTTGTAAACGCTTCAACAACTTTTTTGTAAGAATGCATTGCGAAGTAATCCTCAATCTAAAAATTCAATTTAAAGAAGTATTTTTTATGGCGGGCAC